ATGTTAAAATCTAAAACTATGGTTTCTGCTGTCAAAAATATATCCTCTGAGTCGGTAATTGGCTCGAAACAGCCTCACCAGAGCCTCCTCACCCGTCTATTTCAAGGTTTATGACAGGCCTTCACAGCAACCGTAATGGTTTCGGAGAATGCCTCCACCGTACTTCGCCATGTCAATCGTCCCCTTACGTTGCACATTTCCCAGTCCTCACGACTCGGACAGGAGAATGGATTCTCTGCTGCATCAGGGTTCTTATTCTTTATTGTATGTGCTTCCAAATTTAGGTTTGTTCTTCATTTGTCTACGGTTAGTGTATGGCTCTCATTCTAATAGATTTTTCACGGCGTTTCCATTTTCATTTTGGGCGATTTCATAAAACCAAGCAAAACACCGGTCTCTGAGTTCTGGCATTTTGTGAAGGCTGCTGATCGCCAACTCCTGTCCGTTCTTGCAGCGATGGAGCTCTCGCAGTTTAAGGATGCTTCGCAAGTAGTTGTTGGAAGCCGTTGGTAAAAGCGTCATGGCGCTTCAGAACTGCGGCTGTTTCCTAAGTGTACATGGCATGCAGTTAGGCTTTCAGAAAGATAGCCGTTTCCGTAACCTGAGCTTCCAATAGGCCATTAGCTCGCCGAAATTTGCTTTTGCCAGTTCAGTGCACCGGCTCACATAAGTCAAGGGTAAAAGCAGCTTTTAGTCACATAGTCACTACTAATTCATTTGGGGACTGTCAGCAACGGGTAGCCAGGTTGTTCAAAGTTGCTTCATTTTAGATGCTGCCTTCACTGAATATCTATATATGGTTGAGCGAATTGAGGTGATATTGCCTCAGCAACTATTAAGTTATCTGATAGCATTTTCCAAGTTATGGTGCTAATTCAGACATCTCGCTTTATTTTCAAAGGAACTTCGGGAAACCTTGAACATACTCCACAGTAGTATCGGTGCCATATGCTAAAAATGATAACGAGAGTTATTATCATCTATTGAGAGGTGTGATGACGTGATATGAGAGTTTCATAGCACATCTCTCAGGGACAGTGAAAATAATTTCCCTTAGTCATTCCGTATGAACGTATTGCCCGATTGCCCTTCTCATAGTCATACTCATTTTTAAGGTCTAAAGAGGTCTACTAGTTCGTGATTACAACTGCCTTGTTTGCAGACTATTTCGTAATTAGTCACAGGATTTTACAGTTGAGAAAATTAATTTCCGCCCTATTTCGTCCTGACTTGCAATTCCATATTTTCGTAGCAGCGTGTCTCAGTGCCAGGTCTTTTACGTAGTTGAATCATCTGTTCCACCGTCTGCTCTAGGTAGCCTTCTCTGTGGTTTTGCCATGAGAGCTGATCTCTCGCCTCCAGTGTGATATTCTCATTAAAACTTTGACGTTTGCATCGGAAAAAGGAGCAGCTCACGATCAAAATTGTCTCACTAGACGTTGGATTCTGATGAAATTTTATCTTACTAGACCGATTACATATCCATGTTTTAACTACTTCTTTTTGCCTCATATTTGTCGATCTTCAGTAGGGGTGACCGGTTAATATATTTGCTAATAAATTTGACTAGTAATTTTAAGCAGGCACTGAAAGTTATCTGTCACATTCATTTCTTCATTGATTCTATTAATTTCTTATTTTATTTTAGGCCAGTCGCTTGCTTGCTTCTGCCAGAGAAGCCAAAGTTTTGCTTTTCATTAGTCACACCGATGCCATTAAATGTTGGCTTAGGTGTTCGCTTACTTCTGCTTTCATTAATTTTCTGTTGCGACCTCTTTCGATGACCTTATTGTCTTTAAAAAAACTGTACTGTGAATAGGTCACTTTGAGTGTCGCACCGCTGTAGGGAGCTGACTGGGCTCTGCTGAAAATATTGATACAACCTATGCTAAGGTGACTAACTATGCTCTTGATGAGGATGCATGATCGAGAGAAAGCAGTTCGTCCTGAATCACAGAGTTACCAGTTTCGCCAGGCAGCGAGCAGCACACTGAAAAATCAGCTTAAGTCGTCCGGTACCGCTGGCGTGATGGCTGTTGCACGGGCAGGCCCCGTTAGCAGTGCAAGTGGCGGCACAGCTGGGGCGGCCACGTCTTCTGGTGTGCTCATGGTCGGACCTAACTTTAAAGTGGGCAAAAAGATAGGCTGTGGAAATTTCGGTGAACTGCGCCTTGGTAAGCGTTCTTGTTTTAAAGCGTTTCTCTGTACCTTGTAGATTTAGGCAAAAACTTGTACAACAACGAACATGTAGCGATCAAGTTGGAACCGATGAGGTCGAAAGCACCACAACTGCACCTGGAATTTAGGTTTTACAAGCTTTTGGGCGTGGCCGGTAAATTTTTGAAGTGTTATTTTTTTTCTCATTTCAGTTTGTAATGCAAAACCATTCACATTATTAGACTGCAGGAAATTTCGCTGATAATTATTCTGATTGTTTTCTTTCACATTTTTTTCCAGTCCTTTGCGGTTCTGCGTACACGTCACACGATGACAGATTTCAACCTCAGTTTTAAGAGATGAGATAATATGGCATACCGCGAGTTTGAATTCCATGCGCTGCGCAAAACATCGGTATTTCCATCGAGCAAGGAATTTATTCTGCTAAAATTAAAACTCATTCTTCTTCAACGTAACCAGCTATATAACGGGAGGCACGTTTTGACTTGCGAATACTAACGACAACATGGGGCTCTCATGTAGTCATGCAAGTATCCTGTCTGATGCTTACGCTTTATGGCTGCAGTTCGCCATCATCCGTCTAATGCCTGACAAATAATTAGTACAAAGTCTCGCCTTCTTGAACCAAATTAACTTTACTTGTTTGGACACCGTTAATAAGCTGAATTTCCCGGATGTTGACCCTCCTAGTCACGGAAGGTAAATTTTCTCCATATTCAAATTTTATTCATCAATCAGTAAGCCGTAAGTTTCTGTTTAGTTGTAGGTGGCACACAAAAACATGCTTTTCTTCTTATCTCAACACGCTTCTTGGTTCCAATCATTTTCAGTTTCAGTGACTACTTATACTTTCCTCTCCGGGAGGCAGACGCGTCAGACAGAATCTCCAACATTCCCACTCCCGGGCCTGCGTCTGTGTTTCGACAGAAGAGAAACTGGCTCTGAGGCGAACTCCTTCGGGACAATCACGCCAGGTCGTTTTTTAGAGTCCCCGGGATCTTCGGCCTTTCGATCAACTTTTTAGCTATTTTTCATATTTTCTTGTAGCATTGGGAAGACGTGCCCAAACTATCACAGTTGTGACTTATCACTGTAAAAGCAGCGTCTCTACACCGCGGATCTCTCAGATATCTGTTCCGGACAATGTCGAGACTCGTAACCCTAGCTATTCTCATCTCAGTAAGCCCATTTCAGCCGTTTGTGCCTAAGATCGAAAGTTTTCAGTCATGGTCTACGACACATGTTATGTTGAGCATTGGAATGAACACGACTTGAACATAGAGAGCCAAAACTTCAAACGCTGCTCTGCTGTTATTGTTTTGTCATCGCCATCTGAGGCTGATAGAGCTTAAACAGCACATTGACCCAGATTTATGATATCACACCGTTATAAATGGTACTTCAGATTGATAGTAGGGTGCGATGATTGTATTATTCTCCGAGAGTTGGTCTCCCTCAACGAGGTTTTTACGTGTTTTGTATTATCCTCCTTCACGTCTACAGCCAATGCGTGGCTGCCAAGAGAGAAAAGTTTTGAGTATGTTTCCAAGAGAAGTTCTTGCAGAAGTTGAATATCTACGGGTCAGATTTTTTGGTTAAAAAATGTCGAGCCGCCCTGTGGATTAAGCCGCCGCGCAGGCGTTGCAAACGGCGAGCGGCGCAGCAAAATCGCAGCACAGCGGTTCAGGCTAGTTCACGTAGAGCGCTCTTAGCCATCCCAGTTCCTCAGTCGATCTTTTTCTCCAAATTTCCATCACCAGTAAATGCAACCCCGAGGCACTTGAACATCTGCGCCTGATCCACTGCATCTATCTTCATCTGCAGAACGTAGCGAGCAGTGAATGAGAATGCACTAGGCTTTTCGTTTTAGATACGTTCACAGTATGCCGGCTGCGTCGCACTCGGCTGCGAACCTTTCCAGGGAGCACTGTAG